TCTATTAGAGACCTTGGAGGCAGATGGAGCTGAAGAAAGCATCTGGCCCCACCCTGGGCTTCTGGACTTAAGAGGAAACCGGAAATTGAGGGACTAAATGTACATTTGAGGCAACAATTGCCAACTTGTGATTAATGTCTATGGCAGTCAGGGCAAAGGAAAAATATTCTTTCATATAAACTAGCATTTCAGGGTAGTTTTGAAACATTGTACCACAGAAATGTAGTAGTTATAAGATTTAAGGACTTGGGGCTGGGGAATCTTAATTCTCTTGCTCAGAGTCTACATCATGTTTATTAAACACATCCACTTGTTTTGCATTTTCATTGTTCTCTCTTATAAAATGTCCAGTGTGTCTATATTATTCCTTAGCTGTCCTTTCATCCAGAAGGTAAAGCTTTACTCATATTTTATACTCCATTAACATGTCTTGTTAACCCTAACCCTAACCCTAATCCTCAACCGAGTGAGCCACTGGTGGCCTCAAAGTAAGCTAGCTCACAGCTGAGGGCCAGCATTTAGTAACTTATACTTTTCCTTCCAGAAAACATAATCTCTAATGCTTTAGATAGACGTCTTTCACATAGGAACAAATTTACAACAGCAAAGCTACAAATTTTCAATAGTAACACCCCCCACACACACAAAATACTGACCAAAAAAATCTCTCAATTCATGTTTAGAAACCAATTGGATTGTTATTAGGGTGTCAGTGTTTACTTAGTAATTACTAATACTGAAACACCACAACCAGCTGCCTATCCAGCTAAATGTACTGAGGCCTTTCTCCTTGATGATGCCATAAGGTGAAATTAACCCTCTCCTTTCCAAGTTGCTTTTTGTCCATGGAGCTTACCACAGCAATAGAAAGCAAACAAGATTCTTCATTTTAAAAACTGGTATACAGAATGGGAACAAGTAATAAGAGGGCTGAGATGCACAATCATGAGGCAACCCATGCAAAACCCATACTAGGGCCAGTAAGTGTTACCTACATGATCCTACAAGATATGTCTTACCATGGATTCAGAAAGTCATTAGGAAGAATGAAGGAATGCATGAATGAAGCATGTGTTTCTTGTTTATTTAAATTCTTTAATTACTACTCATATTTACATATCCAACCCCTCATTCCTTTGCCCTCCCATCCTTCCATGTTCCCCACCAACCCCCCCAACCCAACCCACAACTCCTCCCCAGGGACAGTGAGGCCCTCCACCAGGGACCTTCAAAGTCTGTCATATCGTTTGGGGGAGGGACCAGGCCTTCCTTGCTGTATCTGGGCTGCAATAGTATCCCTCCATAGGGAATAGGCTCCCAAAGGCCATTTGTGCTCTAGGGTTGAAGACTGGCTCCACTGTTAGAGGTCCCATAGACTGCCCTGGCCTCCTAGCTGGCTCCCACATTCAGAGAGCTTGGTTCGGGCCAATGCTGTTTCCACAGCTTTATGACTAGGGTCTCCATGCTTTCACTAGGTCAGGTCCACTGTTTCTGCAGGTCTCTCCAGCCCCATCTTTGCTCCATTGCTCATGCCCCCTCCCTCTCCACAACTGAATTCCAGTAGTATGGTTCAGTGCTTAGCTGTGGATGCCTGTTTCTGCTTTGAACAGCTACTGGACGAAGGCTCTAGGAATGGTAACCAAGGTAGACACACCAATCTCATTTTAGGGGAAGGGCATCAATAGCATTTTCTCCACCACTGCTTGGATTCATTGTTGGGGTCATCACTGTGGATGTGTTTCTATCTGAGGTTTAAGGATCTGTGTCTCATTGGCATCATAGATCTATAAACACAAATGTTGGACAAGAAGCACTGTTTACATATTCTTTGAAAATGTCACGCATGGGTAGATGCATCTTGGTTATCTCCTCCTACTTTCCACTCCCAATCTCCATGTGTACATAGTTTTAGGGTCATACTTTTGAAATGTAAAGTTGAAAGACTGTGGACTTGGCTTATAAAGCTTATAACACAAACCAAATTAATCCTAATTTAAATTTACGGTCGTTAAAATGATGCTAGATTGAGGCCCCTTGGGTCCAAACGTAAACAGGTCATGTTTTGCTTAAGGACTACAAAACCTGAAAATAAGAAAATGAGAAAAGTAGCAGCTATTACATACCTATTGTGTACTACCTACTATTTTAAAATTAAAACCAATAAATAACCTGGGTATCTGTCTTAACACAATGAGGACTGAAAGAAAAACTCCAGCTGTAAAGTATAACATACAACAGTCTTCCAGCTAAGGTAAAAAAACAAAAACAAAAAAACCAGCAATACATCTAGAGTTGCATATCATACTGGTTAAAAACCTGGTTGTACATTTATAACAGTGGTTCTCATAAGAACAATAGAAGATAATTGAAGGGACTAAGGAGAAGCTGTGCCAAAAAGGAGGAAACATGGAGCCAGGGTTCAAGATTGCTTTCAAGTTTAATTTCTTGTCTTTCAATGCGTTTGAATGTATTCTTGCTTAGTGTGCTATGTATGCACATTTGTGTCCTTTGAAAGTGTTCCTTCACATTTCAGAATGTGGTAGCAAAAGCCTAAGGAACAGACGCTTACAAAACTACCATCATTTTCAGAGGCTTGATAGCCTTCTAGAAATGGTAGTAGCTGTATCATCTAAAGCCTGATTCAACCTGCATATCGAATCTCCATCTCAGTTACAAACGCCTGACTCCACAGGCAATTTGTAGACAGGAAACATATAGCAAATTGTTCTTGGGCAGATAGACTTGACAAGGTTAATGAAGATGGCAGTGTTTCAGTGCCAAGTGGGAATGAACCGTGTCAGAACCTTCGTGTCTATAAAACAGAATGAGACACAAACATTTCAACATCATCCTCCTGTCTTGCTAAAATAATTTTCTACCTTTTAAATTGAGCAATTGACTTGGAAGTTATGTTTCAACTTGTGGACTCGTATTAAGCAAAGCCAAGAGAGTAATGGGGTAAAATATACTTAATGATGAGTCAAAAGTGAAACTGGTTTGGCAAATTTACCTCATCTCAGAAGCAAATAATTAACTCACCATAAACCCTAAAACCAATTATGCCCAAGCCAAGGTGAAACTGAAGGTCATGCCGTTATGGCCTCAACTAACTGCAAACAAGCTTTCAGATTTCACGGACTATTTCTTTTATGGATGACCAAAGACTTTTATTAGTCTGTGTTGAATGGTGCATTGGATTTATCAATTATTGAGATTTCTAGACAATAAGAAATTTGTGAATAAGGTTTTCAACTAAGTCAGATTTTATTTTCAAGAAACAATTGGAAGATTATCTGAGACAACTTTTTCTACAACCTTTCCATTTCTTCAGCTGAAATAGAATTTTATTCTTTCCATGTAAAAGTGGGTGGTTTTTGTGACTCACTAGTAATCAATAAAATTCGATAAATAGGATGCTGTTTAGTTAGGTTTGGATTCTAAAGTCTGCAGCTGTTTCTGCCTTATATTCATTCTATAATATGTCAGAGGGTATACCATACAAGCCATGCTATATCCTAAAGGCACCATATTATAAGAATCCCAAACTATCTCAGAAAAAAAGCACAGGGAGGGTAATTCTGGAGAGAACTGATATAGAGGTCCCTCACAGCTTCCCTTAGACTCACTTTGGGATAGTCAATCTCTGACAGCCACTTATCCATAGCCACAGTTCAAACACAAAGTCCTTTTCCAGGTTCCTTAACAAGAAAGTTCATGAGAGGCAATAAACTTGCTGTGTGAAGTTGCTAAGATCAAGACTGATTTCTCACATGGCAATAGTGAGCTTCCAGTTGGATAATCCTATCACTATTAGGACTAATTTGTTCTCATAGAACAATTGCAGGCAGTAGTTGGAAGTCTTCATATGAACATAAAAATTCGCAATTTGCTCATTTCATCTCCTTAGTTTTCCTTTAGCAGAAATATCAGCAATTTTTGTTCAGATTGTCTTTATTTCTGGGCTTTGCCTTAAGTATCAATGCACTGTGGCTTGTAGCATAGAATCTACCATGAAGGCTGTTTCTCCTCTTTGATGGTTTTCATCATTTATGTTGCAGTGTGCCTATTGGGAACTTACTTAAAAGTGTTAGTCTAAATTTTACTCATCTAATGAATGACTAGAATCTTTGTGATATATTGCTGTAGCTTTATTTTCTATAATATACATTTTTACATTTATTTATATATTTCCCTTTTATTTTCACATTAATACATGCTTTTACTAGTGGCTTGTTCAGGTGTTGTATTTAATTTTTTATAATTACATTTATCTATCTTTTGTGTGTGTTGTGTGCTTGCCACAACATGCATGCAGAGGTCAAATATTAACATTTAGGGGTCAATTCTCTCCTTCTACCGCATGTATGAGAATCCAGGTACAGAACTCAGGTCATTAGCTTTGCTGGGGCAAGTGTCTCTGCTTATTAAGCCATATGGTCAGCCATCAGGTGCTATTTTTGAATGGATTCATTTGTGTCAATGACAGATTTATTGACTTGATTAAAGTTTTTGAATCATTTGTATTGGTGGCCAACATATTGCCATGAGAAAGTTCTAGTTCAACTTCTTTGATTTTATATGATATCCTTTTCTGTTTTCTCGTTTGCTTTGTGGGCAGCCTTCTTTCCACTAGCCCACACCCTCTTCCCACATGTATACAGGCACGGAAAACTTTTCATGTGTTTCATTTTATAACTGTAACAATCTGTAAAAAACATTATTTCTTGATTTATTAAGTAAAAAATAAGATAGTATTTATGGATAATAACAGTTTAAAATTGACTACTGATCTGTTGCCTGGATTTGTAATTCTCATGTGCATTATAAATCTTTTTTTTTTAAGAGTACGACATGTGCATTCCTCTCTGCACTGGAAATTCTCATAGCCTTGGCCCAGAAAGTTCATGTCTAATGGAATCTTTTCTCACCACTGGCTACATGCACCCTACTTTTGCTACTTTGCTATTCACTCATATCTTAGTTATCTGGATTTCTTCTAGAACTTCCAGAAGTAGAAGATGAAGATGAAGATGAAGATGATGAGTAGGAAGAGAGAAAGGAGAGAATGGGGAAGATGCAATCCTTGTGCTCTCCCATGACTCTGAGCATCTTTGAGAGGTATCAGTCCTCAAAGGGTATCCATATGTGGCTCTGGTCTCTAGTAGTGTTTTTTCTGTCTCCAAACCATATTGGTGCTTCAGGGTATTCTGGAGCCAGCACAACTTCTCCCATTTGCACAGCACTTTGTTTTGTGTTTAACTGACAAGAATTATTTCAGTAGGCTTAATTTTAGAGTAATCCTGAATATGTCACAGAATTAGCTATTATGTATCACTCCTCTTCGGGATTACCCATTGAAACAGTGTATTCTGCTGCCTTTTAAATTGAAATTATAATACCTTTTTTTTTTTGGTGCAATAGCAATCTATACTTCATATGTCTTTGTTCCTCTCTTGGATTTTTCCATTAAGTTCTATTGGGGAAAAAAAGCAACACAATCAGAAGGAACTAGGGATAAATGGGATGAAGAAAATATAAAGGAAGACCTGGCAAAAATCACTGAGGACACTGAGAAATCAAAGATAAGGGAAGACGCAAGAGCCCAAGACACAAGGTTTCTTTATTGTTACATCTCTACTTTTGAATTCTGTACCGTTCGTTTCCTCTCATCTCTTCCTCTCTTTCTCATTCTCCACCACTTTCTCCAGTTCCACACACCTCCTGTTCATTCCTGTTCCTTTTCAAGGAGAAATTCATTAGAATAACTTTAACTCGTTCTTTAGGACAGAGTTCCATTCAGAGTTGAGTGCTTGCTCCTCCCTTTTTTCCTTCCAATCTCCTCCTTTGGTCTGTCCATCCTCTTCTTCCTTCTTTTCCTAGAATGTATTTTATTACACTATCTCTGTAGAACTTTGCTAACTATCACTCATCTCCTCTAATTACATTCTTTGTTAGTACAGAGTTACTACTTACTAACCTACAACCAAGTTCATTACTTGGAGCTCTGATGCAAGTAGATGGCATCAGTGAGGTTTCTAGGGTCCTGTTGAGTTTGTATGAGGAAGAACATTGCAGAAATTGGTAATAAGAGGGTAAAATGATTATTCCATTGCCCCCATCTATCTATCTATCTATCTATCTATCTATCTATCTATCTATCTATCTATCTATCTATCTATCTATCTTATAATCTATTGGAAGTGTTAACATCAGGACAGTTCCAGAGAAATTTGGAGTTTTGATCATGCTATTTTCTGTCCTCTAACTCTACTTTATCTGGAAAATACTCCTTGGAGAGGAATGGAAAATCCTGTTGCTCACCAGGTTCTGGTGCCTATATAAGATGACTTGCTACATGGACAATTGTATGCTATAAAATCTATACTGCTCAGGTAGTATACACAAGAGTTATCACTTGAAATTCCTGGAAAGAGCTAATAGCAGGATTACACTATAGATTATTTGCTTGTAGTGGAAGGCTGTGTTATTTTCAGACAATACATACACTTCATTGCTGCCCAGTGGGCTTGTACAGAGTGCATCACTAACTGTGAAATACATTGTGATTATGCGGTCTGAATTGCCTATGATGAAATGAGAATTATTTGATTCGCTGAACTGTAAAATTAGGCACAAACAGCTATATTTTATCATAAAAGAGGAATTACATTTGTCCAATTTTAACAAACAGATTTGGAAAACCTAAATACAATGCAGGAGATGACCCTCTGTACTTTTCTTCTTGCTTTACTATATTGCTCCTTCATTCCATAGCTGTGAACTCAAAGCAAGTATCTAATGACAAATCAGATGGGGGGAAAGTTCATTTTTGGCTCCTGTATGGCTATGGAGGGCATGCCACCATTAAAATGATGTAAATAGCTCTTTTTTCACCTCTATTCAGACCTGGCCTTCAAAAGTAATGACAAGAATTATAAGAATTTCTTATTTTTATAGATATAACATAGGGATCAAAAAATCAATTATTTGGCAAATCTATATACAACCCACACGAATAGTGTCACTTTTTCTGTCCCCATCAACTTTAGCATGAAAAGTTTAAACATCCATGAGTCTACGATGACAATGCTTGCTCCATGTACTATCTTCATTTCTCCACCATTTTGGACTTATGTCACTGAACCAATAGGAATAAAGGGAAACAACTGTTCTTGAAAGAGAGGCTGCACTTTATCATGAGCTAATTAAGTCTGGCATTGTATAATGAGGACAATCAGGACTATGATTAGAATAAAGAGGATTTACTAGTAGCATTGTCTAACACTTTCTTTAACAAACAGATCCAGGCAATGAAAACTGTAGCCATCTTGAAATTCTGATTCCACAGGAGTGAATGGTAGAGTCACCACACTCATAAAATGACCCATCCTGCCAAAGTACTGCCACAGGATAAGCAGAACAGAATGACTGGCAAGTAAATGACTTGAATCAGCAACTGAAGTCTCACAATTGCTCAGTTAAGAGGTGGAGGCTGGAGTCGTCTCTTTTTGGCCTGATCTAATTAATTATAGAATCTCTATTAGGTTTTTCTCAAATGAAGTATACATGAATCTCTGCTATCTGCATACTTTACTTGGGTATTCTATTGTCCTCTGAGTCCTGGTTTTAAAGACTGGGTGATGATGGTTGAAATCCCCAGCTTCCCAATTGTCCCTCGGTGGAGAACTATATAGCCAGAGTCATGAGTAGCTACACACAATTGAATACACTCACATCCTAATTCTTTCTTTCTTTTTTTAAAGATTTATTTATCATGTACACAATGTTCTGCCTGCATGTATAACTGCAGGCCAGGAGAGGGTACCAGCCACCATGTGGTTGCTGGGAATTGAACTCAGGACCTTTGGAAGTGCAGGCAGTGCTCTTAACCACTGAGCCATCTCTCCAGCCCCAAAATGCTTTGACTTCAATTTTTTGTTTTCTTTTTTGAGGCAGGGTTTCTTTGTGTCGCTTTGGAGCCTATCTTGGCACTCACTCTGGAGACCAGGCTGGCCTTGAATTCACAGTGATTCACCTGCCTCTGCCTCCTGGATTAAAGCCGCGCGCCACCAATGCCCGGCTTGCCTAATTCATTTAAAGTATTTTGTAATTCATTTAATATGTTGCTTCTCGTCAGGCATTTTCCAGTTGAATATTATCCCTTAGCTCAAGAGTTCTCTGTAGGTTTGCTATGAGGTTTATCACGTTTGTAATGTTGATTTAGGTACTGTCTTCCTAGAATTCAAACTCATTTTCAGATTAGCTAGGAAATGGGGAGATATGGTAAGTTTTCAGAACATGAAATATTTTACTCTCTTTGTCAAGATTGCTATAGAAGGTTTTCTTTATGGAACTTCTCCCTCCTCCCTGTCTCTTTTCCTCCTTTGCTTTTTTTCTTCCTTCCTTCTTTTCCTACTTGTTCTGTGTATTAAACACTTCTCTCCCGCCATGATTAGCACATACTTTTATTACTGAGCCACACCCACAGCCTACAGGGTTTGTATTTATTTACTTTCAGTATTTCTTACTAATTTTTTTAATTGGGCCAAATTGGATTTTCTCTCTTGGATCCCCTTGGACACATGTAGGCAACATGTAGTCTACAACTAGGAGTTAAAAACTTGAGTAAAGATGCAGTTACTAAATTGAAATGCATGTAAGTGAAATGAAAACTGTGAAAATTTATTATCATCATGGAACCATGTGGCTCATGGCTCTTTTTCTACTTTGTTTAGTGTAGATGCACAGCAGATTAATATACATGGGACTTGGTTACATATAGGTTAAATTTATTTGGGGAGGAGTCACTTACATAAGAAACCGATGACCCACAAGTTCCTGCTCTGAGGATCCACACCTAGGTTTCTCTCTGTGACCCAAACGGAACCGAGAGAGAGCAGGCCTGTCCCAGACCCCAGACCTAATACCACACACTCACTTATGCGCCTGTGACCATGCCCACATGGGCGTGGTAAGCACCGCAGGTGAGGCTGGGTGGATTTCTCACTACAATTTAGTGTTGTGAAGCAAGCACAAAATACTCCCAGTGGGTTTTAGATAGCATACCCACAATATTGGAATAGGATTGTAATTTGCTATTGGGTTGTATATATCATTGGTCAACTGTACTGTAACAATTATATGGTATTTTAAGCATGTACCATTGATACATGGTTGTATGGACAACTTTGGGTTTATGAGAGAAAGATCCTGTCATATCCAGAAGACACTATTTTCCCAAGTCTTCCCCAACCTCTGCCTATTGAAATATTCCTACCTCTTCTTCTCTGATCTTCCCCACATCTTGGAAAGAAAGGGATAGATGTTCCATTTGTGGTCTACATGATTTCTTGAAATGAAGACATCTTGGCAAAATGCATCATGCACAGAAGATGGTAACAGTAGGCTGGGTATGACAAACTACATCACAGAAAACACTGAGACAAGTTTTCACCCTGACACAGTACAAGCTGCCAATAATTCCCTTTTTATGGATAGAGAGAGACAGGGGCTGACCTGATTTCAAAGAATCACTATTTATTTAAATTAGAAACAAGCTTCTTTTACAGGTCAATCTCAGTTCCCTCTCCCACCCCTCTTCCCCTTCTCCCAACCCCTTTCTGCTCCACAGGGAGGGTGAGTCCAAGAAGCACACTCTTATACAAGTAATAACAGCATATTAGTTTGGCTGTTGGCTAGAAAGTGCCCATCTTTATACAGACTTTGTGATTTGCTGCATATTTCCTATTCTCCAAGAGGCTGGCTCAGGCACAATCCCCTGACACTTATTTAAGATCCACAGAGGAGACAGAAATATACATTTCTTTTTGATACTAGCCAAACATAATGTTTGTTAACATTTCATTGGCTAAAACATTACATCGGCTAGACTAAGAATCGAATCAAAGTGTAAGAAATAGGCTCCACCTCTATAAGGAAATTAAGAAGTCACATGACTTACTAGCAATTTATAGGAAATGCCAAGGAAATTGGAACACTTAAAGCATCAATCTTCAATGGGAGAAAAAGAATAAGATGTGGGGAAGACTGAAGTCCTGCTAGAAGCTGTAACATGTTACTGACTTACTAAAAGAATAAAGAGTAATGAAGAACAGTGAACATTCTCAGATGCAGAAATGGAAACATTTTTAATTTCCCCCTTCAATTAGAAACCCAGACATAATGGAAATCATCAAAACCATTAAGTTTACTCCTAATTAAGCATCTGTCAGGAGAAAATTCATATCCTCTGCCTCTCTTAGGATGCTGTTGAGAGTGCTCCACAACTGACCTGGCCAAATGAGAGCACACAGAATCCGGTGGTAAAGCTGGGGAACCAGCATTGGACTGAACCAAGCCCTCTGAATGTGAGTGCCAGTTAGGAGGCCTGGTCAGTCTATGGGACCTCTGACAATGGAACCAGTATTTATTCCTAGTGCACAAATGGACTTTGGGAGCCCATTCCCCATGGAGGGATACCCTCTCAGCCCAGATACATGGAGGAGGGCCTAGGCCCTCCTCCAAATGATGTGACAGATGTTTATGATTCCCCATGGAAGGCCTCACCCTCAATGGGGAGTGAAAGGGGGAATGGGTAGGGGGGTTGGTTGTGAGCATGGGAGGGTGGGAGGGAGAAGGAACTGGGATTGATATCTAAAATAAGATTGTTTTTAATTTAAATAAAATTTTTTTTTTTTTTTTTTTTTTTTGGTTGGGAGACTTTTGATGACTGCTTCTATTTCTTTAGTGGTTATAGGTCTGTTTAAGTTGCTTATCTGTTCTTGATTCGATTTTGGGAAGTGATATCTGTCCAGAAAATTGTCCATTTCCTTTAAATTTTCAAATTTTATGGAATACAGGCTTTCAAAGTATGGCCTGAAGATTCTCTGGATTTCCGTTGTTATGTCCCTTTTTTCATTTCTGATTTTGTTAATTTGCATGTTCTCTCTCTGCCTTTTGGTTAATTTGGATAAAATAAGATTGTTTCTAAATTAAATAAATAAATTAAAAAATAAAATATGACAAAGGAAGAAAAAAAAGAGTTCCCCTTGTCAAGTTTTTCTTGTAAGAAGCCATTTGTTTCCCTTACGCACATTTTTTTTTCCTCTTGGCTAAACTGGAGAAAATCGTTTGTTTATTTGAAAAATATTTCTCGACTAAGTACACTATTTTTTAAAAATCAATTTCTTTTCCAGACGTACCTACCTGAAAAACTGCTATGCTGGTTTATCCAATATTGTCAATATTTTGCATCCAAGTACTTTTAGACATAAGAAGAAAAATGATTCTCAGTATATTAACAAAAAGATTTGCTGTGATAAAAAACTAAAAGACAACTTCCAGGTTGACCCACATACTCTTCATGTAGCAGAGGTCAGGTCAAAGTTTTATGACCAGGAGCTTGTAATGCACGGGATCCACTCTGACTCTTGCATTTTTCTTGTTATCGTTATACACAGGTCAGTGCTCATTAGCTTGGTTCATAAATAAGTCTTTAAGGAAAATAAAGAAGCTGTTATTTTTTTTTTCTGAAGATAGATAACACTTTCTCTGGAATGGTGATATCTAGTCTATTTTACAAATGTATAAATTCTCAATTCCTGTAGATGACCTTTGGTGGGCTTCTTTCTTCTTACTGTCTTCATTTTCTCAACCCTGATTTGGAAATGAATATTTTTAAAACAATCTTTAGTTGAGGCATATATGTAGCTCATTGGCAAAGGAACTGTCTAGCAAACACTGATGCCGTGAATATCTATCTATTCCTCTGGTTCTCGGCACTGCAAAAAGAAAAAGAAATATTTTGTAGAAAAGGACATAGACAATAGAATAACCAAAAGGAATAGGTTGGAGATTTCATTATCTGGGCCTTTATCAGTGATTGTAAAGTAGCATTTTGATCCTAGTTAGCATAGTGCAAGGAAGGGATCACTCTTGGGGGGGGTTGTCTCATTTTAATTATACATTTAGCTTCATGGTGCATTGACTGATTTTTTGAGCACTGAACCCCACTGCATTTCTAAAATAAAAACCATTTGGTCTTTTGCTGTGGTTTTGTACCTTATTCTTTAAATCATTCCTCTCTTTTATGTTGTGTGCTATAGTTTAGATCTTAACTATCTTCCAAAGGCCCGTGTAAGCATTGGTAACCAGTTCATGGCATTATTGGAAGCTGATGGGACCTTAAAGAGGAGGGGCCTTAAGTTAGATCACTAGAATCAAATATGGGGCCCCAGCATCTTTTCACTCTTTGCTTCTTGGACACTATGAGTTAGTATCTTCTTCCATCAAGTGCTTATGTTCCACTGTGATTTACTGCCTCACTACAGGCCTAAAGACAGCAGGAACAAATGAGCATAGAAAAAAATTTCCTAAACTGTGAACCAAAAACAAATTTTTTTCTTTATAATCTGTTTATCTTGGGTACTAAGTGACAGTGATGCAAAGATAGCTCACATATTGTATATTGGACTTCTTAGAATTTTTTTAAAGGTCTATACTCATGAGTGATACTGATGCTCAGTTTTGTTGAGTATTTTGTATCTTTTTGATGTTAGTTGTTTCCCTTTCTGTTCTCTAAAAAAGAATTGTAGAATTGGTTCTATTTATTGTTATTTTAAAAAACCCAGTCCCATTATTAAACCTTAAAGTGGACTGGTATTTTAAAGAAAGAATAAATATCCCAGCACTCAGGAGGCAGAGGCAGGTAGTATCTTATAAGTATTAAGTCTCTAATACCTCTGAGAAACCCTGTCTCGAAAAAAAAAAAAACACTAATACCTCTGAAATTCACTGTATGCATTTATGAATAGTGAAATTTCAAAAAGAGAAATGGTGAATTATTCATGATAAATGCATATTAAATATTTACATATTTGTAAATATTTGCAGTACATTGTGTAGCTAACAATGTACTAGAAAAGTATTTTTTATAGAATGATGTTCTGATATATACATAAAACATATATGTGCTGTAACTGTTCACACATTGTACATTATATCATATTACTATGTGATGCTTCCCTTCACATGTGATTTGTATATATGTTATAACAGTCTGTATTTCTCTAAGTTTCTGATTTATTTTTAATTGTAAGAATGTGTTATGAATAGCATATGCAGTGTGATCTTTTTGTCCTAAGTTACATGTACATGCAGAACATGAGAAGAAAATATAGTCCATGGCTAATAGTCTGTCTCCATGTAAGTGTTACAGCTAAAATTCACCTGACTTACGCTCTTCTGTGTTTTCAAACTTATGAAATGTTTATATACCTCAGATATCAGGAAACATACGTCATATAAAAAGATTATCCACACAAAAATAGGGAAAATGTAACTTGATGCATTATTGATGCTTCATCTCATACTGATTCTGACATGAATTCTTCTTCCTCCTTAGCAGGAAACAGAAAGCAGTGTTAGATACAACTAAAATAAAACTCGTATTCACACAGGTTCCGTATAACTTGATTGTAAACTGTGTGATTCATGACAGTCCTATACCGACAACAGTAAGCGTGTGTCCATAGACATCTTGCATGCAGTCTTTCTATGTATACATCAAGGCAGGAGGCTTGAGCAGTGTCCATAGAGAATGGTCTTGCCTGCTTTCTAATCACCCAAGAAATCCCATAGGGATGGAATGGAACGTAGAGGAGAATTTCTTCCCAACACACACTGGGTAGAGATGCTTACAGGAGAGGATGCTTCAGCTCAACGTTAATTAAAACACTCCAAAGACTCTGTCAGGAAACTGGAGTCCTGTTCTTTTGGGTCAACAGCGAGAGAAACCAAGGCAGTGCACTCACTTGCTAGTTTCAAAGACTGTGGTGACTTCCCTTCTGAATGGGGTCAGTCATAGGGAGGACATAGCAAAGGCAATGTTAGGTGGCTGCTTCAGGGCTAGAGTCAGGCTATTCTCATGTTTGAGACAGTTTGTTCCTGAAAACTAGAAGCAGACATTGAATTTCTCTGAAACAGAACAGACACAATCAGTTCAGCATGTGTTTAAAACTATACTAGGTGCACATTTGTGAATATCTACTTATGTCTGTGGGCCCCCACCTCCCTTTAACTTATGACTCCTCAAGGCTATAGAACATTGAAATTGGGCTTTCAATTGATGTGGTTAAAGAGAAAGAAAACCCCAGCCTTAATTATATTAAAATCTAGGCAGAACTTTGTTTTAACTAGTCCCTTCTCCAGCTTTTGTAAGCCAGATGTTTGTCTAATAAATCTCATGAAAATGTGCATCATATACAGGTCTTATAGTTTGTAACAAAACGTCTTTTGCTTTTATTCTTTTTGGCCAGAGATAATAACCTATGAGCAACGTCAACACAAAAGAATGAGAAGTTACTTCTGTTTTGATGCTTTTCCCCTAAATGAGCTAAGCAAACAAGGATATGACAAAGAGCACGTCTCACCAGGGCCAACTTGGTAGCAGGCCACCTCGACGCTATTGATTTTGCATTTCCAGCTGGTTGTCTCTGTGTCATTTTAAAAGAAGGTGCTGTGCGTAGCCTTTACAAACTCCCTACTGCTTGCTGAGGTGGACAAAAAGATGCAAACTCATAGAAATCCGCCAAAGAATATAATAGTCTCTACAGAAGATCTGGCTGAATCAACCAACAAAAGGTTCCAGCTGTGGAAGCTGTGTGGAACAAAGGCAACTCTTGGCCTAATGTGCAGTGCATGCTTCTGGCGTTCCAGTTCAGGGAAGGAATAAAGAAAGCTATTCCAAAGCCCTTGACCAGATGTGTCTGACATAGTCTAAAATGTGTTTGCACAAAACCTTCACTATCAGCACGGTTGCTCTTATATCAGGGGACATCTGTTCCTAAGGCCAGTGGGGGAAATGTTTGCATCCATGATTATGGCACAGACTTGATCTGGTTGCTACTTTGAAGCCTGTTTTTCCTGACCACTGCAGTTCATATTAATCTGAATGGCCCTAGATATATGTGGATCGATGATTTATTTAATTCAAAATCTAAATGCTTTTGTGTCATGGAATTAAACTCCATCCAATGGTCAAAGACTTAAACTTTCCATTTGTTTTCCAGGAGCAACTGTGCACCTTCCCCAGAGCTGCCTTGACACTGTTAAGTCTGGACACACTTCCCATCTGTCTTTGACTTAGATTGTTCCTAAGGTTGCCTATTGATCATCATTCTCACATGAATCCTTCATTACTCTAATTGGAACCATTTATAAACACATTCCTTGGACAGATGACAAAAGGATCCATGATAGGCAACTTTCTATTCAAAACAGCTGCCCAATATGTAAATCAAAAGCTGTTAAAGATTGTATTGAGCTGAGAACAATTATATAAGGTTTAAGCCTGTTGTGAATTAAAGTGACTGCATTGGAGCTTACGGGATTTGTAAAGAGAGTCTTTCTTTTCAAGAATGCCAGTTCAGATTCAGCCTAGGCCCCTGACAAGTAATGTCACATGAAAATAATGAAAAACAAGTTTGGGCTCTCAGCTTGGTTTCTAGCTGGCAGAGAATGTCTTCAGAAAGTAGTATCCTACAGCCAATATACTGACTATCTGAAAATTCAAGGTCTGACATTCATTAACTAAATGAAGGGCTACTTGGAATTCATTTTAAATATCAGGCTATAGTTCAGCAAGTTTCCAGAACTGTAGGTACAGTGTATCAGATTTCTTTTTAATTTAGCCCTGTTTATATTCACAAATGCTGTTTCCTTCCTCTCTTGTTATATAAAGATGACATAAAATGAAACTCAAAACCAAATAGCGTTTATAGGGCTGTGGAGATAACTATTGTTTATTGATTCTTTTATATGTCAATAATTATTCTAATCACTGTAATGGTTACTGGATGATTTAACCTTTGCAATAACTACACAAGGTGAGAACCCTTATTATCCTCATTTCAAAAGAAACTAAGGCAATATGGTGAAATAAATTTTACTCAATGTCAAGTAGGTCATGGACAGACCCAGATTATCCCATTTAAACATGACAGCTTCCTCATGGAAGGTTCAACAAATGCTAAATCTTTGTCTTGGGAATGAATTTTGGTTTCCAATTTTCAGCCTCACAAGGATAAGTTACATAGATAATTCATTGGTGGAAGATAGGCAATACTAACATTTCTTTAATCCTTGAAGAACTACATTATTTCTGGTACTTGTCCTTTCTCCTTTAATATCCCATTTTTAGTATCCCCAGTTGAAGATGTTTTAATAGCTCCATTCATAGCTTCAGGAAGAAGGAGATGGATTTTCATCTCCCTGCCTCTCATTCTCAATTATATTACAGGGATGTAGAGGATTAGATAAGCTTTGGGGCACAAATGGTGTCTTTGTGGGCCTGATTCGGGATGTAAGCTGTGCATGTGGAATCAGCATCTTGTGATTCTGAGACCCAAATTACTTCCACTGAATTTTATGTGTTTGTGACATAGGACGAGATTTGCTTACAATTCATTTAAACATCAGAACTTGTTAGTTAGCTGCAATTTGTATTTTGTGGGGTCTAAGTTTGTTCCCTATAGCAGCTAGGCAATGGGCAATGGAGAAATTAACAAGCTTTGAAGTAAATGGGATGGGAAAAGCATCCTGAGGGGTGTGTGTGTGTGTGTGTGTGTGTGTGTGTGTGTGTGTGTGTGTGTTGTTTTGATTTGACCTCATACTATAAGGACACTGTCTTATTTACTGTTCTATTGCTGTGAGAAGAAACCATGACTAAGGTAATTTCTAAAAGAAAACATTGGTGGATAGCATGATAGCAGGCAGGCACAATGCTGGAGCAGTAAAGAGATCAACCTGATCCACACCAAGCAGGCAGCTTGTAGATAGATAGATAGATAGATAGATAGATAGATAGATGGATGGATGGATGGATGGATGGATGGATGGATAGATAGATAGATAGATAGATAGATAGATAGATAGATAGATAGATAGATAGGAAGGAAGGAAGGAGAGACTTGGACTTTTGAAACCTCAAAGCCCATCCCTTCTCCAACAAGGCCTCAGCTCCGAATTCTTCCTAATGGGCCACCAACTGGGAAACAAACATTCAAATATATTAGCCTTTGGGGGGCATTCTCCTTCAAACCACCACAGACATGAATTCAGCAGTTATTCTGTAGCTTTAATCCTTTACAGGATTAAAGTAAAAGCATAAAAGTGTGTGATATTTCATTGCTATTAATTGAGTTCCTTAAGGACTTAGAAGGAAAATAAGTTTTTATTTGAAATAAAAAGGAAGATGCGTTCTATTGCTGTTCTCTCTTGTAATAACCATTGAATCTCTGTTTCACTTTTAGTTCCCTTGCCCTAATTCATAGATAATCAAGACATATGCTCTTGGCACTAAGAATTGTCTCAACCACGCCTATTTTTCTTCCTGAAGACAGAGTTCTGAACATACAATTGTAGTCATTGATTCTATCTGCATATTAATTAGCAGTTCCTCCTGCAAACCAAACACTAGACTGAAAAGAGAGACCAGAGCTCCTATTTTCAGAGGGCTGTTGAAGATAAATGTGCAGGTAGTGAGAAAAACAATATAAATATCTCACAATGTCAATTTTTCACAAAAATTAAAGGAGATGGAAAAACACTTACTTGGGGAAAATGGGAAAGGATGGCACTTAAGTTAAATATTACATAATTTACCTGCCAGGCAGTGGTTGCTCACACCTTTAATCCCAGCCATTGGAAGGGAGCAGCAGGCAGACCTCTGTGAGTTCAAGGCCAGCCTGATCTACAGAGCAAGTGCCAGGAGAGGCTCCAAAGCTACACAGAGAAACCCTGTCTCAATTCCCCCCAAATAATAATTTACCAAGAATATGAGTGAAAAGAAGGTAATCCAAACAGCATCACAGTAAATGTAAAATGTCTTTTAAGGATGGATTTTCTTCTTTAATGGTACAACTTAAAATATACATTTGGTGTAATGATTCCCTCAACACAGATGTAGTGGAAGTATGTTAACTATGTAGTAATTACAACCAACATTTAATCTGCAGTTTAAGAAGAAGCAGGAAAACCATTCTGTTACAGCATCTACACAAAACTGTGCCGGAGGCTAAAAAGACATTGAATCTCTAACAGTCCTATTGGTCCATAATTTATTAATAATGTTATGTAACAAAATACACAGCCATAGTGGCTCACAGTAATAAATGTTAATTTTCTGTTCCCATCATATCAGGTCACCAGGGAGTCTGTTAATATCATGGAGAAAGATTATTCATGGAGAACAAATGCCAGTCAAGCACATGTCAAGGTTTGGCTTACATCATAGCCCACTTACACAATACCAAGTCAAAAGTCAAGTATAAATGTGTGAAAAAGGATGAAATATTTGCCAAGAATGATTTATCTACCACAATAGTTGTTAATAAGCTTTTAAAATTTGAATGTCTAAGTAGAATCCAAGAATTTATATCTTCCAATCTCTCAGTTCATCGACTTCATAAAAATAACAACTCAATTATTTGAAGGTTGTGTTAGGAAAAAGGGAAGGATCTGTAAAGGATTAAGTGAAATCACCCACACCTAGATGATGGTGGTCAATAGCAATTTAAGAGCCAGCTTCCCTTTGAGCCTTTATGTTTTGTGCTGCACTTTTAAGGCCCACTTTAGAAATTCCAAGGAAGTAATGACCCAGTTATCACGGAGTGATGGCAATCTAGAGGAATTGTTTTTCACTTTTTCTTTTGATAATACTTGTGGTTGAGATCTTTCACACTCATTGGCTCTATGCAGTAGCTTATTCTCTCAGAAAATGCTTAACAGCGCCTACTATGTGCCAAGCTCTGAGCTGGCTGTTGAAATCATGTCTATATAAAATCTTTCCAGATTGAAAACTTTGATTACATTGTTCTATAAAATTCTACAAATCCCCGAAGGTCGAAGAAATGTAGAAAGTATTATCTTATAAGCCTTAGCATAGTGCATGAATGTAAGTTTCAAGACATTTTCAAGAGAGAACATCCCTCAGGGAGAGGCACAAATTGTTTCAATTGCATTGCTTACAACACTAAGATTCCCCCATGGAAGCTCTCACCCTCCCTGGGGAACAGAAAGGAGATGGGATAGAGGGTAGGTGGGGGGCAGGAGAGGAGCAGAGGGAACTGGGATTGACATGTAAAACCATCTTGTTTTTAATTTAAAGAAAAAAAGAAAAAAACACTCAGTTCTTATGAGCCGAGTTCAATATTCCAATTATTTGTTTAAGGAGATGTTTCATTGGTTTATAATTTCTTCAATTTCAAATTTCAAAGGAAAAGCAGCTAATCAAGAGGTACTTAATGATCTTGTGGCTCAACAGAACATTCTTCAGACAGTAGCAATGACCGAACATAGGTTTTTGTAGACGCCGGGCAAGCTCTCCATCACTGAAATCTGCCCTCACCCCCTTTAAGAACTTTTCACACACATCGCCTTGGATCTGGTAACTGAATATGCTCATAATGGAGGCTAGAACTCTCATCTTTGTATTTATTAAAAGAATATGGCTGACTTATCTCCAAAAGAAAGCCTATTTTAAAGATGTTTCCTATAAGAAATTTGTTTATCTGGGAATACATGTACAGAATCAATTGAATTTATAAACTGAATTATAATTGAACTATATCATAACAGTTTTGAGATATTATACAGAGGATTATGCATTCCACTGGTTTCTTTCCCTTTATTTAGCATCAATTGGGTATTGGTAGCTAATAGTGAAAGCCTCAAATTTTATGCCTTACTCCAAGCCCTTTGTGGTGTCTGTTTTATCATCAACCGGAGAGCTTCTTTTCAGTCAGAGGACAATATATGGACTTTGAGCGTCTTCTAACACTGTAACTAATCCTTCTCCTTCCTTAGCCACCATTCTCCCACCTTAAATTTACACCTTGACATTGAGAGTGTGCTGAGCATACAGCCCATACTACATCTCTGCATGCTTCATCAAAAAAGACATTTCACACAACTTCCTATTATGATTTGATCCTAATAATTTAGTTACATTCATGTGACTACAATGCACTAAAGATTATAGTAAGTATTGATGTAGCATAAGGATGAGGACAAATGTAATTGCAGACTTAATGAAGTTACCAGAAAAAGCGAAATGCAAAAATATTCCACACAGAGACTCAGAAAATACAGAAAGAGTTCACACACACACTGGATGTCTGCTTTGCCAAAGGTCTGAAGCACACTTATAGATCATTCAGAGCACACTTTTTCCTGACTTTCTACTCTTTCATTTCTGAATTTAACACATTCTGGTCTTTCATCTTCCTTTTCCAGTGTCTTGCTTTATGTCTCAAATAGAGGGTATTATTATTTATGGTTAACACGAAATGATTTTTATTTAGTATGGTGGTTTGAGTATGGATGT